TTTTTGTGGAATTGGAAAATGCCTAATATTAAAAGATTTTAATTAATTTTTAATATTTTTAGAAAATATAAAATGAGTATAAAAGAAATAAAAACATATAATTAGATAACTGGACTCATTCTTAAAATTACTTTACGTTTTTTGAACCTGGATCTAAAAGCCCCTTAATTTAATTTATCTCTATCGCTTTTTCTACACTGAAAATTTTGATCTAGTTACAAGCCTTTGTATGCTTTGATTCTTCTATTGATCTCCTTGTCCAACTCTTCTAGTCCTCCCACTTCTTCGAGTTCCTGCGACCGCAAATCACACGATATGTAAAAAGCAAACTTAGAAATTAGCCAGATACATCATTTTGTTTCTCCCTCTGCACTCAAGTTCGAGATTAAAATATCGCTTGCTCGAAAAAAACAAATCCTACAATTAAAACAATATTTTCAAGGCAGAAAAAATTGATGACTAACCTTTGGTCCAAGAAACAACCCATATGGGACACCGTCGAATTTCTCTGAGTGGTGGAGCTGAGGCCAAAACATCCAAATCAAAACCAAATCTTTGACAGTTAGATTCAGTTGAACAGAAATTCATACTTAAATGCCTAATCTTGTTTTTAATCAATAATTATGGAGCTAATTAATATGATAAGTATTATTTTATAGTGTCTGTTTGTTTGGTAATGGAATGAGATCCTCTCCAGATTTTATTGTCGGATTCCAAAGACCAGGCAATCCAGACTGCTTAAATTGAATCCGATGGTACTCATTAACTCATTTAGTCATTCCGCTAACTCACCTAACACAAATCAAGAGTTCTAATCTCTTTTTAACACAAACCAAAAGATCAAATTTTGTCATTCTTAAGCTCCGGAGAAGATTCAAATTATGTGGTGATAGTTTACCTGATGAGCTGCAGCAACCTTTCTCAAATACGGCACGTTGGCTATGGGCCCCACTGGGAATCTTTTATGCACAAGACCATCGTGGACAAACATATACGCCATGCCAAACACCGTAATTCCAAGGCCCTATTATTCCAAGTCAATATATCAACAACAAAAATTAGATTAATTAATTAATTAATTATGATTAAAGTCGTTAATTAAACAGTAAACACAGATGTTCATAAAGATACTGAAAGTGAAAGGGACTTACAGCACCAAAACAAAGACCAGGAACAAGGCCCTTGTGGAAGAAACCGTAATTAAGGAGGGCGATTGCCGGAACCGCGTTGATTATCGCAAACACATCGTTGAGCTCGAACGGACCTTCTCTAGGCCGGTGGTGCGACTGCAGTTAACGTTCATCCCGCGAGTTAAATTAGTTTAAAGTAAAATATCGCTCGTATTAAGTAAAAATCCAATCTTGGCATGTTCCTCTCATTAATTGCTGGGTTTCTAACGAATGAAAAGCAGCAAAAAATCAAAACTCAAGATTTTGTTGGCATCGAAGAGAGAACAAACCTCGTGCATATGCCATAAGGAAGCGTGCCAGAGAGCTTTATGTGCCCATCTTGCCCAAAACTCCATACCCACCTACAAACATAAAAAAAACCCAATTCCTCTTTCATACACAATTTGGGACTTGCTTTTGTACGAAGCACTTCTGCTTTTTGATTAAAAGTACTTTTGATGCAAGTGATTTTCATCGGAAATCTAAATGCTTTCACATGTGAAGCTTTTGATTGTCAGAAAACGCTTTCGATTCTAACAGAAGCAGTCCCGAACAAGCACAAAAATAGTATGGAATATTGCTTTTGCTAAAAAAGAAGTGGTGAGTGAACTTACAGCAGCACCAACAGATAGAGCAAATGTACCCAGCATTTCAGACATAGGCACATTCCCACCCTACAAACAAAAACACCCAACTCAAAAGCTCAATCAAATAAATAATAATAATCTGTGATTTTTTTGTGGGTTTTTGAGAGCTGAGAAAAGCTTGGAAATATAAAAATTTACCTCCATTTGCCAGTAAAATCTGTAGTAAACGGCCATGACAGCCATGGAAGTAATCCCAAAGCTGGACATCACGGCAGCGACAAGGTAAGTGAACCTCTCCGATTTCTTCCTCGACAGCCTCTCCGCCACGCGAACCGACGGAATTACGATTGGGATCTGAGAATCATCGGCTTCCGGGGCTTTTCCGGCGGAATTGTCGAGGTGGGTTATCTGTTTTTGGTCCTCCATCACTACATAGACGGTGAAACAGAGTTTCCGGCGAGTCCTGTGGAGTGCTGACTTCTGGTGGCGGAGATTTGGGAAGAAGACGGTGGCGGGTTTGGGTTTTGGGAGGAGGTAGGAGGACTGGATTAGGCGGAAGGGGGTGGGGGTTGTGGCGGCGAAGAGTCCGACCGCCATGGAAGTATACTTGTTGGTGAGGTTGAAAGTTCAGATAGAGAAAGAGGTTGAGTGAGTTGAAGGTGGGTGGAGTTGGAGTGAACGAAGACCACACCTTTCTGTCCCTCAAAATCTCATGAGAGGCAGACCAAAACTCCTTTAATACTACTCGTATGGACAAACGCACAAAAACGTAAAAAATTGATGCCATTGATTTGTCAACAAAATTACAGCAAAGCCATTCACACAATCTGGACCCGTCCTCTCCTCTTATTTAAAGAAAGGGATCCTCCACAGATCTCTTCTATCAAGTCTTCTCTATCAAACAATTCGAATCTTTAAAATTTAATTCAATGGCTAAAATTATTATAACTTTTAAAGTGAACCTCTGTTTGTAACTATTAGATCAAATTTCAAGAATCCAGATTAGTTGATGACAAGAACTTGGTAGAAGGAATACGAAGAGGATCCATTTTCTTATTTAAATATTTCGTTAGATGGCTTTTGAGGTAAACTAGTCTAGCAAATTGTCACAACTTTTCAAATCGATTCCTCAGATTTAGAATTCATAATAATGGTTATTATCCACCGTCAATTATTTTAGTCATTTTATGAAAAATTTTCGTTAAATTGAAGAAACTATCGGTTCAAGGTTGACAAAATGCTCTCAATTTAATGGAGATTTCTCATAGAAGAATTGAAATGATTGATAATCATAGAAGAATTGAAATGATTGACAATGAACAATCTCATGGACTATTTCAATCGATTTTAAATTTCAGAGACTAAAATGAGGAGTTATACTAATCTCATAGATCATTTTAAATATAAAAAAAACCTTTGTTAGATATTGATAGAAACGGCACAATACAAGATCATTTGAGAAGTGCATTTTGATAACTGAAAAATCTTTTAGAGAAAATATTTTTAAATTCTAAAAGCACGTAAAATATTTCCTTAATAAAATACCAATTATGTGCTTTGTAAAAAAAATACTTCTCAGGATCTTTTTAAGATTAACTTTCATTTTTACTAAAAATTAATTTTAAAACATTTTCAATTATTTAAAATTACTTTTTAAACGAGCCTATATTAATTAACCCATAAAAAACAATACGTGACAATAATTTCATCGAAGGATTGCGAAGGAGACGACAGCGAATCACAACATGTTGCAACAAACGACACCTGGACTTGGCTTTTTTCGGGTAGCAGTTTACTAGCTGTCATATATCGCCACGTAGCAGTTTACGTATTCACTCACTAACGAGTCCAAAACTTTTTGGGATGTTTAGTTGGCGGGAACGGCTCCACAGGTAGGTAGGTGTCGTGGCAAATTCTTGATCCCGAAGACCGACCTAGGATCCTCTTCCGATTCGAGAATTATAAAGATTCGTAAATCGTGTTTGTTCATCGTATATTGTGCGATCAGTTTTTGTTAATTATTGTTTATATTTATTTTTAAATAAAAATATTTAAAATGATTTCTGACCGTATAATGTACGATAAACGGATACGATTTACGAATCTCCGAAATCCTTACAAAGAGGATTCAACGAGAATCCAACTCCAGAAGACCGAAACGTAGTACAATCTGTGGGTCATTCCGGTTTCAACCGGGGTTTAGTAATGGACAGTTAATAATGGTAGTCAACGGTCTTTAATTTGTTTTGTCCATAATGTTACGAGGAACAGTGCATGATATTTTTGGTTGCAAAAGATACTTTGTTTATGAAGCCCTAACCAAAGAATTAATCCCAACGAGTTGAGCCCAAAAAGCCCAAAGAGAATTGGCTTTCAAGTATTTCAGTTGGTAAACAGTGATATTCACATTCTCGTTTTTTATTATGTACATTTTTACTTGTTTTTGTTCATTAATTATTAATGATTTGTTTAATTCAAGAGAATTATTATTAGCACTCCAAAAATCTCATTCTACACTCCAAACTTTCTATATTAGGAAATAAAAATACATTTGTGAGGAGTATAGAATAAGAGTTTTTAAGTGCCAATAACACTTCTCTAATTCAATGGTGGAAAAGAATTCATAAGGAAAAAAGGAGAATGCGAAGATGTGGGTTCTTGTCTTGACGCTTGAACTCGCACTGAAAACGAAAGGGGAACAAACAGAGATAGATCCACCTTAGGACAAGGTGTGTCAGCTAACCCAGCTCAGCTTAGTAAATCCTTCATGGAAGAGTTGGGTCTTGCCCTTTGAAAATATAAGATGTCCTTGAAAGTTGTCATCTAGATGCTCGACGAATTCACTCTATGAATACGGGGTAGGATAGCTGCTAACCTCATACCTTTGTATGCGTTTCTACGGGCATATGTCAATATGCTCACTAGGCATATGTTATCGTTGTTGTTTGTCGACATGCTCACTCAAAAACTATTGACATAAATCGACATACTCACTTGAAAGTTATTGGCATCTGTTGACAAGCATGCAATATAACTTCGCAAATGCTACCAGGCCCACAAAAACTCAATGACATACCGATTTACATGCCACATTGTCCAGATAATATTCTTGGATACGTTACTGGGTGCAAAGGGATGCCCAACTTGTGGCTACCCGCTTCTTTGAAGTACGAAGCCAAACCGTCTCACGGATCGAACACCCGTCGTGCGCATGTGCTTGGTTGCTTTGCTTTATGCGGTAAGTTTTGTATGTCAATTGGATTTGTCTTCCTAACAGATTAGGAATTAGACCATACTCATAAGGAAAGCTGAACTTTCCTTGCACGTAATCGTTTAATTTGTTTACATAATTGGAGGTAATTACCTCTAATTCCAGGTGGTAATTAATTCGTATCAGCTCTTTATTCTTTATTAGCCTCTTGCTACATGCTTACATGTCTAGCAATTGGCTCTTTTTTATTATTTTTCTCTTTTTTTAACTTATTTTAGATGTTAATTTTTTATTAAACTAAATTTTGAAAAATAATGAACGTAACCATGCATAGTCTTATTATGTAGGTTTTTTTGTGATTTTTTATTTTTATATTTAAAATCTTAATAAAAGAAGGGTGAGTTGAATATTATGAAAGTTTCACCATTTTTTCCTTCTCCTTTTATATATAGAGGTTTAGATATCCTACCATGTATAGGAGTCCACTGCATCCCTATAAATAAACTTCCCTATCCTCCTTCCTAAGCTCTACAACATTACTCTACAATTCCTCAATCTTGGACAATGGTGTCCTCAAAATTTCATGTAAGTTCTCTTCTTTTCCACAAATTATTTCAATCTTTTTTCGTTGGTGTATTAATTTGCTTGTTTTATGGGGTTAAAACTTCAATTTTAGCAGTGTCATTTTCATTTGTCAAATTTGAAAGTGACGTCTCAATGTTTCAACACCAATATTACTCCCAACCTATCCACTTGCTAGCCCAACCTAAACTATTCTAAAAAACTACTGTGTAATTAGGAATGAAATCATGTATGATATATTGTAATTTGTTTTTATCAATTTTCCCAATAAGGAATTTTCGAAATTTTCGAAATCATTCCGATTTTTTAAGTTCAATATTATATTTCAGTCTAATCTAAATTACTGGGATGAGGACGCTCTTGCCACCGGTTTAGTTTGTTACATACTTTGTTTAGAAGGCCAATTTTGCTACATATTTTATTGACAAATTTATGTTGTTTTTAACAATTACAGGTTGCTTCTGCGATTATTGTTGTGTTGGGATTACTCTTCCTAACAGCAGCAGAATGTCGAAAACCGATTTCGAACACGGTCAAGTACTCAGCCATTAACTGTAGAAAGCACAGTGCTCTTTTGACTGACTTTGGAGCCGTTGGCGACGGAGAAACTTCCAACACAAAGGCCTTCAAGGAGGCCGTTGGTCATCTAAGCCAGTTGGCATATGACGGCGGAGCGCAGCTTATTGTGCCGCCGGGGAGGTGGCTTACCGGGAGCTTCAACCTTACCAGCCACTTCACTCTCTTCCTCCATAAGGATGCCGTTATTCTTGCAACTCAGGTTTGAATGTCTTGTCTTTGTTTTGTATGATATTTCTCCAGTTGTTTTTCTTTCGGTATATATATATTGGGTTTGTTTGACATAAGTAAGGCTCTAAACGGCGCTAGTCGGAAGATAGATAGAGTTTTGCACCTAGGTTTTAAAAAGAGTTTGACGCTAGTCGCGTGACCGGTAGATATTGATTATATATTTCTCATATTAAACACAGGATGAGTCAGAGTGGCCTCATCTTCCGGCACTGCCTTCATACGGGAAAGGCAGAGATGGCCCCGGTGAAAGGTTTAGCAGTCTCATCTTCGGAACAAACCTCACCGACGTCGTAATTACCGGTCACAACGGCACCATCGACGGCCAAGGTGCTTACTGGTGGGTAAAGTTCAAACAAGGTCTTTTGAACAGCACCCGACCATACGTGATCGAGCTCATGTACTCTGATCAGATCCAAATTTCTAATCTCACTTTGGTCAACTCTCCTTCGTGGTTTGTCCATCCCATATACAGCAGGTAATTTGACTTTTTTTTATTTTTTATTTTTTTTTAAGTAACACACGACAGCCCATCAACATGTAGTAGTGTTACTCACGTCACAATGTTGGCTGCTCTCAAAAATTTCTTGCACTATACACACACACACACATACATATATATATATATATATGTTGTATGTGGATCTGTGGCATTATTGTTTTGACATAAGTTTTTGTGAGGTCACTTTGTAATGTATTTCAACAATCTAAATCGTCTTCTATTAAAGATTATATCTACCGTCTACATAAAATCACCGAAATCTGAAAATATATCACTGATGTATTAAGGGTTAAGAGTTTCTTTGTAGAATTGTATGCGTCCACTTCTTTTTGCCATACATGAATGTGTTAATCGTTTTAGATTTGTCTAATTTTGCGCATAGATGATTTATGAATTATGTTTAAAAGAGAGACATGGTTCGGATGGTTAAAATATATTACAGAGTAGACTCTCAAAAATTTGTGTCAAAAGTTGTATGAAAAAAGTGATGTCACAAACCTGTTCTCATTAGATATATTTATCAGTTTTACCAAGGAGTATTTGGTTAAGAACTCCCTTAATCTTGTTCTAATTTTGCAGCAATATAACAATCCAAGGGCTCACAATCCTTGCACCAATTGAGGTTCCCAACACCGATGGGATTAATCCAGGTTTGTTATTTTGGCTGCCAGTTAATTTGTTCTTGTTGTTGCTCATTAGTGCTTAATTGGGAAATGAACATGATTAAAGGGTGATCCCAAGCTAACAAGGCTCACTGTTTTGCAAGGGTTAGGAGAAACGTTTATTGTACGCAGCCTTATCTTGGTTTGCAAAGAGACTGTTTTCACAACTTGAACGCATGAGCTTTCGGTTAAGCAAGTATAAATCTCTATGCTTCCTTCAGATTCTTGTTCACAAATTAGAATTGAAGACTGCTATATAGTCTCTGGAGATGACTGCATTGCAGTAAAGAGTGGATTTGATGAATACGGAATCAAAGTCGGAATCCCGACGGAGCACCTTGTGATCAGAAGGCTCACTTGCATTTCACCTTCCAGTGCCACCATTGCCCTCGGCAGTGAAATGTCCGGTGGAATCCGCGACGTTAGAGGTGAGGACATCACAGCCATTGATGCTGAATCAAGTGTGAGGATCAAAACTGCCGTCGGAAGGGGAGGTTATGTCAAAGATATTTATGTGAGAAGAATGACCTTGAAGACGATGAAGTACGTTTTCTGGATGACCGGCTCTTATGGATCGCACCCTGACCCCGGCTTTGATCCAAAAGCGTTGCCGGAGATTACAAACATCAACTACAAGCAGGTTGTGGCAGAAAATGTTACTATTTCCGCAAGGCTGGACGGAATCCATGATGATCCTTTCAAGGGAATTTGTATTTCGAACGTGACCATCACACTGGCTGAGAAGGCGAAGAAATTGCAATGGAACTGCACTGATGTCGAGGGAATCACAAGCAATGTGACCCCAAAGGCGTGTGATTTGTTGCCCGAGCAGAAAGAAGCGGTTGATTGTGCTTTCCCTGAGGATAGGCTCGCGATCGAGGATGTTGAGTTGGTGACTTGCTCTGCAAGCACCCCCTTCTTCTGAGCGTGTTAGATGGGAATTGTTACATGTTTAAGAACATTGCAGTATGAATTTTAATAAATGTAAAAAAAATTCGTTATTTCTATTTCCGTAGGCTATGTATGCTCCATCGTTTCACTAATTAATCACCGCAAGCAGTCTTAATTGGTGGAAAACTAAGTAAATTAACAATCTCAACTGCATAAAATAAATGTACAAGAAATCTTCGTTCTATGATGATTTTCGATTATTCCATTTACCTTATGGATGAACGTCCCTGATCGATGAATGTTATGTATGGTGAGGAATCTCATGAGAGTTTCAGGATTATTCGTTTAACTTCAACGGATTTTCTTGTGCCGGTTTTGCAGATGCTTTGTTCTTGCAGAAGCTTTTTTCTCGGCAAATAGAACGAGGAGAAGTTTGTCCCTTAAGCCATTGATCCTTTTCATTGCAGAGAAAGAAAAAAAAACATAAACACATTATATTCAGAAGTTAGGCAGAAATTAAATTCCGAATCTACGAATTTCGACTAATTGAAAGGAAATACCTGTTCTTGAATCGCAGAACATCAAGTCACGCAGCTCAAGCATGTGAATAACTTCTCCCATTTGAGGCCTATGTTCTGAATCGGGATCAACACAACGAAGAACAACCAAAAGCACCCTTTTGAGTTCCTTCAAAGATGGCTTCTCCGGCATTTTAGGGTCAACCACGCAAGCAACTTTCTGTCCCGCAACCATGGACTTTAACCAGTCAACCACATATGGCTGCAAGCGAACAGTCATTATTTAAGTGTACCATATTGAACCGAAAAAACAAACCCTTACATGTTTCGAAATTAAGAACTTAAACATACTTGGGGTTGACTGTGATCTATAGGACTCCTCCCCGTTATGATCTCCATTACGAGTACTCCAAAGCTATAAATATCGGACTTCTCAGTGAAATCACCGGTAGAAGCATATTCCGGAGCAATGTAACTGAACTTCCATGCAATTCAAGAACGACAATAAAATCATTAACAACTGATATTGATAATGTTCCAATAGCGAACATCAGCAGGCATATATGCATACAGATTTTTCCGCGAGCAAAGAAACTAACCCTAATGATTCCATTATATTGATTCCCCACTCGGGATTGTAGAGCTTAGCTAGGCCAAAATCCGAGACCTTAGGATCCCATTGGTGATCAAGCAGCACGTTGCTAGATATTAGGCTTCTGTGTAGGATTTTCGGTTCTATATCCTCGTGCAGGTAGGCCAATCTGCAGAAACACAGTCACTTCAAATTATATAACCACAAATTTGTCTAATCAGATAAAATTAGATACGCAGGATCTCACCCTTTTGCGATTCCTTGGATTATTTTCAACCGAATGCTCCACGTTAGAGGGCTGACTAGTTTCGAGCATTCGTGAAGCCAGTGGTGCAGACTTTTATTATCTACATACTCATGCACAAGCAACCTGGTATAAGAAAAATCAAATCATTGGCTGCCCTTCGAACATCTAAAATTGTGCAATGACGAAAAATTTGCATACCTGTAGGCTCTTTCGATGTGGTATCCAAGCAACTTGACAAGATTTTTGTGCCTCACGAACCCAATTGCCTCCATTTCTGCTATGAAGTCCTCGACTTGAAATCTGTTCATTTATGCATAAAATTTTAGCATTCACTATAATTGCCGAAAATATATGGATTCGATAGACTTGAGTACCTGTCACTCACTAGCCTTTTCACTGCCACGCGCGTATTATCGAACAGAATGCCATGATAAACAATTCCATAGTCCCCATTGCCAATCAGATTTTGTTTCGAAAATCCATTCGTTGCAACCTCAAGCTCCTTGAGACTAAACTTTTTGCCCCTCCACACATCCTTAACCATTTGTGAATACATAGAAACGGGTCCCAACTCCATCGCACTACCATTTCGGATTCTCCCACTAGCCTGAGGAGATGCCAACTGATCGGAAAACACACGCCCGTGCTGCTGCAGCTTCCCGCTGTTCATCTCAATATCAGACATGTTACGCGAAAGCAGCCTCCGGTCCAGGGATGAATTACAATAACCATCGTGTGTAGTTTTGGAAACAATGGGATTCGGTAGACGGAAGTTGGATTTGGAGGATTTTCGTCGACGGTAATGGATGACACAGAGCAGAGAGATGATGAGGGTGACAACTGTGAATAGAGCTATGAAGATTACAAGCAAAACCCATGATTTGACACCGAAAAATGAAGTCGGCTTCATGAGCCTTTTCTTGAGAGACAAGGCACTGGAGGACATGTTCAGAGAGAGAGAGAGAGAGAGAGAGAGAGAGAGAGAAAGCAAATGGAGATGGAGCTTAGTAAAAAGCAGTAAAGAGAGATTTGACACAGGAAGTTGGGTTCATCCAAATCACTTGGGTAAAATTCAAATATTTTCAGGTACCAACTAACCAGCGGGAGCAGCGAGAAAAATCTGTAAGGATTTGGTGTGGAAGACCAGATTTTCTTCCCAACAAATCAACCAATCGTCTTCGGCCACTTCAACGGTGCCCTTTTTTTTTTCTTTTTTTTTTTTTTGAACAAAACGATATTAGCTACACTAAGGGAGAGGGGTAAGCTTAGCCTCACAATGAACTAGCAATAATGTAGTTCATCAAATTCACCTTTGACGAGAATCGAACTTAAGACCTCTTACTTACAAGTAAAAATAAGTATCACTAGACCATAATACTAAGTGACAACAATGCCCATTTCTATTTGGCTTAAATGTCATACTGGTGTTTGTCTTTCATCCCAATCGGTCGATTTAGTTCACGTGTTTTTAACTTAGCCAAATCGATCCTCATGTTTGTCTTTGTTAATCAATCTTAAACAATCTATTAAAGGACCGTTAAAATTGATACGTGTGTCTTGCATTTGAGGGGACAAAAATGTAAAGCCATAACCCCATCATTGCAAGGACAAAAATGTAATGCCATGAACCCCGTCAACTCCGTCTTGGGTAGTCTTTCAAATCCTTTGTTTATTTTCCAAGAGAATTGTAATCCTAAAAGCTATCGTGCAACTAATTTGCAGTCCAACACATAGATGTCTGCAATACTATAGGCATGAAAATATTTTGAGGCATCGTCGTCGATTATCTGATTTCGCTTGCATTTAATGGATCTACAATCAAATTATATTTTTGTCTCAATTATAATGATCTTTCAACAGATTGACTAACAGTAAACACAAAGAACAATTTAGCCAAATTGAAAACACTGAACCAAATCGATGGTTTTTTTTCTTTTTCTGAATTTCGCTCTTCTCGAAATTTCTCCAAATCAATCTGTATTCCGGCACCACCCACCCCGTTTTAGTTCTATCCGATGAGTCCTTGGACGGACAACCATGTGATCCGGCGTCCAGAACAAAGAACTCCCCTCATTGATAGTTTGACACTTCCCCGCCACACCAATAAATCGACACGGATACTTTTCTTTTTGTCCAAATTTTGCTTCTTTCTCTACTTTCACGTTTATTTGTGACCAAATTCATGATATGATTAAGCGTTTTTACAATCACAAAACTGTTAGAATTAGAATTCCAATACCACAAATTGGACAACAGTAGCCGAGTATCTTCAAAAATTGAATGGCCTCCGCATGCAAAGCCGCTCAATGGCCCCGTCTTTGAACTGTTTCTTCATCGGATGTAGCTTGATCTCGTAAAGCTTTGGCCATAGTTTTCCGGTCACTGCCAACACACAACAAGTATCAATAGAAGTGACCATACAACACAATTCTATCCTACTAAAAGAGTAAATATCAATTCTCCCTAACAATGGCGATCGCTTCCAGTTCGACATACCAAATATACGGTTTTTGTCACTGTCCCATGCAATGCCGTTTAGAACATCTATACCCTGTATAAGGATGTCAAATTGCTAATGAGTAAATTATTAGTTTGAGATGTATTGTTCTGAAAAAGAACGAGCTGTGCATATCCAAGCCTCTCCTCGAGAACTATGATGCTGCCTCACTTTCAAGGAAGCCATACAGAACATACATTGTATACCAATCGACATTTAAAAAAAAAGAAAACCGTGAAAACATAAACGGAGAACTTATTGTTTTTGGTTCAAGGGCTTACATGATTCCCAGAAGCTAGTAAGCCATCCCTGTAAGTGATAATATAACATATAAGCCATTAAATGAGATTCCCAAGAAAAGGGAACAGAACATGATATGTCTCGTAATTAGACTAAAAACTAATGATTAAATAAAGGAAAAACAATGAACAGAAAAACCTTAATTTTGGAAGGACGATCCATCCAAGCACCCTACCATCTTCAGGCCAGATTCTAGCTATGCAATCTGTCTACATAAGTGAGATCACAAAACTTTAAGAAGCCAATCCAAGGCAGAATAAAGCATTCTAATATGCATTTTTTATTTCCATCTGCGCATCAGAACTGATCATTTCTATTGTCCACATGTAGAGAGATACCGCTAACCGCTCTAAGGAAGTCACGTCATGTCATATGCCAATGCTCCATTGACATGGATTTATATGTGCTGATGAAAAGACTGACCTGATATACATTTGCCCAAACTTCGCCGTTTACAAACTCTAACTCGTTGAGGTTGTGCACTTCTTGATCTTTATATTTGACCATATGTCTGTCCGTAACTGCATGAGATATGACACAACTATTATTATAAATTAAAAAACACAATCATCAAGAAAATTGTCCTACCGCTAATTTGGTGGAGATAAAAACATCAGATACGGGCTAACAATGAAACAATTATTTATACAGGAAAAAATCAAAGAAACCTTTTAATGTTTGAGGGTCAATCTTGTACAACACTGAACTGCCATCACTTCCAAACAACACTTTTCCATCAGTAGCCAGTCCCCAGCCATCTTTCATCTGATGCGTGAACTTCTCAAACTGCGTCGAGCAAAACGTCAAGCAAGCTATTAAGGATTAAGACCTACATTTCACTGGAATATCAATTCTCAATTGAAGGTCAGAATTACTAGAATTGATTGATGCTGATCAATTTAGCATCCGACAAATTGAATACGTAAGCACTGAACCTAAAACTTCAAATACTGCAGATGCAGAATCGTATAATGAAACTATACAACGATAAAAGTACTTTCAAAAGGAATAAAGGAAAAGCACAAACTTTGGTTAAATTTTTTTGGTCATATATGAAACCAATTTCCTCAACCAAGTTACTTGGAATAGCCTACAAAAGAACATATAAATGACTAGATCAGCACTCTTGGACTCCTTTGAGGTCAATCATATCATAAAAATACAGATCGAACGATTAAAACACAAAATCCCCTTTCACTTCACTAGTAAATAAATCAACGGAAAAACGTAAGTAACATGATTTTCTTGTCAGACCTTTCACCAAGGAGAGTTAATCCCTCCCCAAAGTAAGAAGGGTCCATCTTCTGAAGTTCTTCAACCTGTATGTATCAAAAACAAAACTGGATTTACACACAAATAATCTCGATTTAAGCAATGTCACAACCAAGCTTCGAATTAAATCGATTTCCCAGCAATTACAGATAACCTGACTAGAAATTTTCATCCGTCACTTCCAACAAAATTTCCTACCCACTTAACTACAAATCAAGAAGATCAATTGAAAGTCTTTACCTTTCCGGTTCGAATCGCAACCTTGCGCACTGATGACTGAAACAATTGAAAGAAAAGATGAATCTAAATCACATAAGCAAAATGCAAGTCAAATTTAACACCATCAACCAAACAGGGCGCAAACTCACCTTCCCGTAAAGCCCAGTCGACTCGAACAAGCTATCATTTCCAGCATAAAGTAGCCCCTGAAGAACAAGCAATCCAACAAAAACCCTAAAATTCCAAAAATAGAAAACCAATTTCCAAATCCAAAATCTAAAAATTAAGCATCGACGATTACCTGGGTGAAGGCGTCGGGATCGTGAGGGAACTCATGGACGACCTCGATCGAGTAAATTCCAGGGGAGACGTTGGCATAGCTGACGGTGGTCCACATGTTCGACGAAATGCCAAGGAGAATAAGAACGCCGAGCATGAGAAAAGCGGCGAGGATCAGAGAGGTTTTCCTGTAGTTTGGAAGCGACCTGGGCCGAGAGGCCGCCATGGGAGCGTTATTGTATGGCCTGCGGTCCGACCGCTTATTGTTATTCAGCTTCTTCCTAAGCGAACCGGTGGCCATGAACCGGTGGATCAGAAAGGGGGTTTGAGGTAAAAGGCTGCGCTCGAGTGGTTTGCAGGTGGAAACGGCATGCTTGCGGTAACACGCGCCAAGGTTGGTGTCATTGTCTTGACCGTTGAGCTTACATGCGCCGAAATATTTATTAGGCCAAATTTGTAGACTAATGAGAAAAAAAAGTAATGTTAGAGAGACAAAATTTATAGACTAACTTTTCAAAATAAACGATATAAAAGTTGATGATTGAATTATAAGTTAAGTGTTGATAGACATGTTCATTCTAATTGGTGACACATCACTTAATTTACAAATACAGTCTCCCTAGCATTGTTTTAAAAATCCCTGCCTAGGCTAGATGGCTGGCCACCGCCCCGATTAATGTCTAAGCGTTTGAAAATTAAGAAAGAGCGCCTAGACCTGTTGAGGCGACCACCTAGACTTGTTGAGGCGCCCTCCCAGACCCGCCTAAGGACCTGCCTAAGTTGCAACCACTTAGATAAAAAATAAATAACTTTCATTTTGCATTTTATTTTTTCAATAAATTATAAGAGACTTGTTGAATACTTAAATGAACACACATTATACGCTTGTTCCCTATATTTTCAGTATGTTTCAATACTTCATAATATATATATCATTCTATTTTGTAATTTATGATGAAATTATATATTTTAAGTATAAACAGACACTTATTTACATGAAATATAAAATATTTACTTAAATCCGCCTAGGCGCCTACCTAACTGCATAAGCGCTAGGCCCCAACTTGCCGCCCAATTAGCACTTAGCATCTTCTAGAACCTTATTACCCATCGAAAAATAGCTCTCGTGGTAAAAAATTAAGATTAAAACATTTATCAAGTCCGTTGAAAATTATGGTCAAAATTAAAATGTTTCGTTCAAATTTTGTTAAATCTCAATCAATATTATGTTCGTAAGCCTTATGCGTGAGATTAACTTTGTAATTTAAGTATCGTTTTATATCGTGAAAACGGTCCTTTCCTGTTTCTTTATTGTAAATTTTGATTAACTATGAGCTGAGAACAGTTCAATCAAATTATCATCCCTTTTCCCTCCCAATGAAACTCAAAACCTAATGCCCCTTATTTGTTTACATCAACGAGGGTTCAACAATTGAAAAAAAATCATGAGATGAGAAAATTAATCTCATACTTAAGGCTCACATGCATGCTATTAACGGAAATTTTAAATTTTATTAACGAACAGACGTTATCACAAAAGTTTCAATCTTAATTCTCTTCCCACAAGCACTGTCTTCTGAAACCCTCTGCCACAACATCCAAATACCCAATTCAACATATCTATTATTTTTGGTAGTTTGGAATACTAATTTTAATGAATGAATAAAATCGGATTAAGAAGTCGGGTCGAAAATGTCAGGTTTAAGGCCAACTACAGATTTTACAAGTAGGGTTGGCCCGTTTAGCCCTTGGAGGAGCGGGAGAGCCCGCGATGACGTCATATAAAAGCGGTTTTTCTTGGGTAGGAACGTTCCTGAGCTAACGAAGCAGAACATTCTCGATTCACATACCCCCAAATAAAACCAACCCCAAACGACGCCGTAAAACCATCAAATCCCAAAATTCACCCTGAAACGGCAGCGTTTTGGACCCCAACATACGCGGGAGATTATACAAGTCGAGAAAAGAGTAGAAGCATCCAGAACCAGAGCCCTATTCGTTATAAGAGCCTCCTCAGTCCCTCCCACAACCATCAGATAATCGCAATCCTCGATCTCTCTAGTGCTCTCTTTCAATCGCGACGTTTCGAATTTTCTCCCAAACAAGCTCGAATTTTCTCTCGCTTTCTTGCTATTTCTCAGAAAACTCGATCAATGGCGGACGTTCAGATGCACGACGCTGAGACCTTCGCCTTCCAGGCCGAGATCAACCAGCTTCTGAGCTTGATCATCAACACTTTCTACAGCAACAAGGAGATCTTCCTTCGTGAGATCATCAGCAATTCATCTGATGTGAGTCTCTCCTTTCCGTTTCTTGCATGTTTTCGTTTCGATTCTCTGTATAAATTTGTACGATTTTGTTCCCCAATTTTCCGATAAATCGCTGTGTTTGCGTTTAAAACCCAGATTTTTGAAGTATAATATGTTCTGGTGATATGTAGTATTGGATTTTGCTCTTTAATTTACAACTAATGGTGATTTGGATCCTTTTTTTTTTTTGTTCTTCCCACAAGTTAGTGATTAATCACTATGTTTTGTGGTCAATAATCTTGTTTCTGGATTAAAATTTGTTTCCGCGATAAATTATGATCTAGAATATGTAGGATTTTGAGATTGATTGATTTTTGTTTTTCTCTTAGGCTTTGGACAAAATTCGTTTCGAGAGCCTCACAGACAAAAGCAAGCTCGATGCTCAGCCGGAGCTGTTTATCAGGCTGGTTCCTGACAAGGCTAACAAGACCCTCTCAATCATCGACAGTGGTATTGGCATGACCAAAGCAGGTATGTATTTCTGTAAATTGCACTTCTTTACTCCTCTTATCGATCTGTTTGGCTTCCGAGAAAATCCATTAGCATGTACCCCTTGATTAGTAAAATTGTGCATTCTGTATTTAAGCTGGCTCCCCTGTATTATCTGTAGACGCTTACAATTGTTCAAAAATCAAAACTTTGGTTATGGAAAGCTTAACTTATACGTGATGTTTTGTTAATTACGTAGTCATCGTTTATGATTATGTTAATAAGCTGTGAATCTGATTGCAATTGGTTTCTGTAGATTTGGTGAACAACTTGGGTACAATTGCAAGGTCAGGAACCAAAGAATTCATGGAGGCATTGCAAGCCGGAGCCGATGTGAGCATGATTGGGCAGTTTGGTGTCGGTTTCTACTCGGCCTATCTCGTTGCCGAGAAGGTCATTGTGACCACGAAGCACAATGACGACGAGCAGTACATCTGGGAGTCACAGGCTGGTGGTTCCTTCACTGTCACAAGGGATGTCAATGGCGAACCGCTCGGCAGGGGCACCAAGATCACCCTCTTCCTCAAGGAGGATCAGGTAAAGAATCGAGCCAATGTATAAATCTTTAATTATATGATTAAGAAGAAGAACTGGGTATTAATTCGTTGCTGTGATTGTGATCAGTTGGAGTATTTGGAAGAGAGGAGGATCAAGGATCTTGTGAAGAAGCACTCTGAGTTCATCAGCTATCCAATCTATCTCTGGACCGAGAAGACTACCGAGAAGGAGATCAGTGACGATGAAGACGAAGAGACCAAGAAGGAAGAGGAAGGAGATGTTGAGGAGGTTGATGAGGACAAGGAGAAGACATCAAAGAAGAAGAAGATCAAGGAGGTTTCTCACGAGTGGGAGCTCATCAACAAGCAGAAACCTATCTGGCTCCGAAAGCCCGAAGAAATCACCAAGGAGGAGTACGCTGCCTTCTACAAGAGCTTGACCAATGACTGGGAGGAACACCTAGCTGTCAAGCATTTCTCAGTCGAAGGCCAGCTTGAATTCAAGGCGATCCTCTTTGTTCCGAAGAGGGCTCCTTTCGATCTTTTCGACACTAGGAAGAAGATGAACAACATCAAGCTCTATGTCAGGAGGGTGTTCATCATGGACAATTGCGAGGAGCTGATTCCCGAGTACCTCGGATTCGTGAAGGGTGTCGTCGATTCGGATGACTTGCCTCTCAACATCTCTCGTGAAATGCTGCAACAGAACAAGATTTTGAAGGTGATCAGGAAGAACCTTGTGAAGAAATGCATTGAGATGTTCAATGAGATTGCTGAGAACAAAGAGGATTACGCCAAGTTCTACGAAGCCTTCTCCAAGAATTTGAAATTGGGCATCCACGAGGACAGCCAGAACAGAGCCAAATTGGCCGATCTCCTCCGCTACCACTCGACCAAGAGCGGTGACGAGCTGACAAGCCTGAAGGACTATGTGACCAGAATGAAGGAGGGTCAGAAGGACATTTACTACATCACCGGTGAATCGAAGAAGGCGGTGGAGAACTCTCCGTTCTTGGAGCGCTTGAAGAAGAAGGGCTACGAAGTTCTTTTCATGGTGGATGCCATTGATGAATACGCCGTCGGGCAATTGAAGGAATACGACGGCAAGAAGCTGGTGTCCGCCACCAAGGAGGGTCTCAAACTCGATGATGAGACAGAGGAAGAGAAGAAGGCGAAAGAGGAGAAGAGGAAGTCATTTGAGAACCTCTGCAAGACAATGAAGGACATTCTGGGAGACAGGGTCGAGAAGGTGGTGGTTTCTGACAGGATTGTCGATTCGCCCTGCTGCTTGGTGACCGGAGAATACGGGTGGACGGCCAACATGGAGAGGATCATGAAGGCGCAGGCGCTGCGGGACAGCAGCATGAGCTCCTACATGTCGAGCAAGAAGACGATGGAGATCAACCCGGACAACGGAATCATGGAGGAGCTGAGGAAGAGGGCGGAGGCTGACAAGAATGACAAGTCTGTGAAGGACCTCGTGCTGCTGCTGTTCGAGACTGCTCTGCTGACCTCCGGCTTCAGCCTGGATGACCCCAACACTTTCGCGGCGAGAATTCACCGGATGTTGAAGCTGGGGCTGAGCATTGAGGAGGAGAGACCGGCGGCGAGGATGCTGACATGCCTGCTCTGGAGGAGGACGGTGCCGAGGAGAGCAAGATGGAGGAGGTGGACTAAGCCAGTGTCTGCGTTTTGGAGTCAATTGGGATGGGATTTGAGTTTGTGGATATTTCGGGTATTTTGGTTCAAGTAATTGTTGATAGGTGTCGCGGTCTTATTGGAGGAAGTTGTCCCCGTGGTGTGTCAATGTTGTAGTGTCTTTTAATTTTGTGTTCAGTTTTCAGTCCGTGTCAAAACATGGTAGTGGTTAATTTTGGAACTCAATGATGTTAATATAATTTTGAGTTCCTCATGCTTTGTGTGTTCTTTTCTTTTTCACTTGTATTGTTATCTATTAGCCTTTAACTTTAGGATAAATATCGACTTGGGTTGGGTTTGGGTTAAGTTCGTATTTCAACTTGTTACAAGAGTGACCTGAGTTGGCAAAGTTAGGTTTGGACGAGTTTTTATATCATTTTGACCAGCTTAATAAAACTAAAATAGGT